GAGTGAGGGGTATCTGGGGGGTGCTGGGAGTTCACATTGTAAGGGAGCCCTCACTCCTGCTGGGCTGTGCCATATCCCATCTGTGCCACAACCAGTCCGTGCCATATCCCATCTGTGCCATATCCCAGCAGTTCTCAGGGGTCTCTGTGTTCTCCAAAGTGCCCCCCTGTGCCATGGGCACGGGGGGCTCAGTGGCCAGTGGTTCCGTATCTCAGTCCAGGAATCCCCGCTGGTGATCCCACTGTGGATCCTTCCTTCATCCGTGTGTTTGTGTCTCTGGGTGCTGCTGTGGTGTCCCAGGGGTTGATCCCTGTGCCAATGCCACTGGAGGATCAATGCCAGGAGCTGTTCCACAGACCCCCCCATTTGGGGTGGGGGTCCACCTCATCCTGCCCATGGCAGCCCCTTCCTCAGCAGTGAGTGTCCCGTGTCCCAGGAGGAGGAGGAGTTGTTGTGCTGTGGAATTAAACCTCGTGGAGCAGCCTGACTTGCAGGGTACAGTGTCCATCCTCAGGGTTTGAGCCCCTTGGCCCATCTCCCACCTGCTTTGTGGGGTGGGAGGGACACGAGCCCCCTCTCGGTGTCCTTTAGCCCCTCCAGCCCAGGCCGTGTCCCAGATCCAGAGCCCGTTTTGGGCTGGTTTGGTCAGCCCAGGGCCACTCCCGGGGGCACTGGGGGGGCTCAGGCTGTGGAGTGGGGGCTGCGGGCACAGGCTCGGGGGAGTCTGGGGTCCGTGGGGGGCTGTGGGTGCAGCCTGGGGGAGCCTGGAGGCTCTGGGTGTGCAGTCTGGGGGGAGCCTGGGGTCTGTGGGTGCAGGTCTGGGGTCTGTGGGGGTCCATGAGTGCGGGTCTGGGGTCTGTGGGTGAAGGCCTGGGGACCGGGGTGGGTCTAAGGGTGCAGGTCTGGGGTCCAGGGGGTCTGTGGCTGCGAGTCTGGCGTCGAGAGGTGCAGGTCTGGGGGTGAAGGCCTGGAGACTGGGCAGGGGTCTCAGGGTGTGGGTCTGGGGTCTGTGGGGGTCTGTGGGTGCAGGTCTCTGGGGGTCCGTGGGTACAGGTCTGCGGTCCGTGGGTGCGGGTCTAGGGTCTCTGGGGATCTGTGGGTGAACGCCTGGGGTCTGTGTGGGTCC